TGTAGAGAATCAGGATGAAAACACAATCTTTTTTAGAGATGAACCTTGCTGCTCTCCAGATCTTTTTTTCCCTTTGAGTGCCTGCCAATATATTTCCTCTACCACCTCTGTTTTCTTTACATCCCCAAAGGTATAAAACTCTTTCTAGTTTCTTTTCAAGCATTCCTCTTACAAACATTTTGAAAACCTGTCTTTTTCTTTCTATCCTATCCTTTTTTTTTTCTTTTTTCTATTAGAATGGGCCCTTCCATCCTAGTATTCCTATAATTGTAATCCTTGTAAAAACACGTATCATGGTACACCTGAAAAGGAAAAAAAACAACTATGTATGGGTAGTATTGTTCCTGGAAAACAGTTCGAAAATTTTAAATCCTGCATGTTGATCAAACCTAAAATCTGCCAATAGAAGCAAATTGTTCCTCATGGTCATACTACTGTTTACAAACAATACTCTTTAAAATGTTAATTGAGGTTTAAGGAAAGGTGCTTGTTTCAGGATTAGTTAAAATACTAATAGTACAAAATTAAACCTCTCTAATAGTGAAGTCTTTATTTTTTCACTTATATTTAAGTAATCATTACTCTTTCCATTTTGCATGTTTTGGTACAAAGACTACCTAGGATAATAAAATAAATTTCAGTTTCTCTATTAGCTACCAAATATGTTACAGTAGAAATGACCTGCATTTTTTTTTTTCTTTTTTCTTTTCATTTAGGCTTTACGCCCCCTGGGATGGATAGGTCATCTCCAGACAACAGTCCAGTCCATGGCCTATTACGTCAACCCTCCATTACAACAGGAGCCAACATCCCTATTATAACAGAGCTAGGTAAGGAAAGCTAATGTTTACCCTTTCATGTGTATTCTGATATCTATTCCCACTTTTCTTGTTATGCAGTCTCAGTAAAGTTACCTGTACTGTATCTTATGCTGCTGTTTTCTCTTCTGATAACTATTTTGAATTACTCTCTCTAACTAAATATTAGTAACAGTTGTTTCACTTTTTGTTGGAATTAATGAAACATATTTCTCTCATTCCTTTGGGTTTTCTCTATTTTCTTAAATAAACACTCTATCAGAGAAGATGCTTTTTACATGGTGTAATAAATAAGCAGGGATATTTGGGCTAAGGCTAGAAAAGAAAAAAAGTACAGTAAGTATGACCAGACATTTCCTGTGCATTTAATCAATAGTAAGAGGCCATTTGTTTATTTCTTCATGGTCCAGAACTGTTTAATCATGTGTAACCAAACTCTGTATAATAGCATGAGACATTTTACTCCTGAGAATACAATGATGGTAGGTAACCAGGCTCTGATTTCTACTCTAGCTGTGGGTATTTATGTTGTCAAGTGGTGTGATGTGAAGTGCAGAAGCTGTTCTGTTTTTTCATGGCAAATACAAACTTGATTTGTGGTCCTTTGTCCTTTTATTTTCTTTTTCAGTTTTATTTTTTAGAGCCTTACCTGTCTTTTTCCCTTACTTTATTCTCTTTCTGTACTTTCTTTTCCCCCTAAATACTTTACTTATTAGCTAAGCCTGGCAAACTTCTGCCTTTGGTTTCAATCAGTCAGGAAAAAAACAGTGGAACCCACATTCTAATGATAACTGAACTGGGTAAGAAGTGCCTTTTTCCTTCACATCACTGTCTTATTTTCTGTTGTTGTTCTTACTGTCATCAGCTTTTCCTTTATTTATCTGGCTGTATCAGAGGGGCTACCCTCATGGCACTGCTTTGAATGTGTTTTATTTGTGGTTCTGGTTGAAATTGACTGTCTTGTTCTGGCCTTTCTTAATGATTTTTTTTTTCACGCAGCATCAGTAAACCTTTGATCACACTCGTCTGACCTGCCGGCTGTTTCCATAGCACCTTCTCACCAATTCATTTTCTTTGGCCTGGGTCCCCACCTCCTGGGCCTTCCCTCCCCACCCACCCAGCCCCCCCACCAATTTTTCTCTCCTCTTCTCTCTTTTTCTCTTTTTGTTACCTCAGCCTGTTGTCAGTTTGGTGGACATACTTTAGCAATTCCACAGGAAGTCCAAGAAGAAGTAAAAGATAGCAGAACACACACACCCAGCATCATATTTTCCCTTAAGCTATTTGTTTGTTTATTTTGGAGAGATGGCGTTTTCTCAGAAGCTCAAGTTTTGAAGCTGTAAAAAAGCAGACAAGCTTCTGTGTTGCTCCCTCTCAATAGAAAGGTCTCACCAGCTTTTGTGAGCAGTGTTTGATGAGCATTTCCTGTGACACAGCACCACACATTTAAGCCTACCTCACCTAACCCAGAGACTTTAAGTAGAAATCCTAGAGTGCTAACCTGCATCAGAAAGATAAAGATATTGAGGATAAAATCATACATGCAGAATTCACATTAGATTTGTAGCAACTTGCAAACTGACACCACGCATGGCTAGCAAGCTGGTGTCAAAGTCAGGTGTTAGTATGTCAGATAAAAGTGGAAAGCGAATGCTACCATCAATAGTGCCTACTCTAAACTAGTACATTAAACTAAGGCACAAGGTCTTCAAAAAGTACATTTTGAAATGATATGTCAGGCTTTCAAATACTATTTTGCTCAAGAATCTAGAGAATAAATTGATAACCATTGTACAAAGAATGGAGTATTGTGAATATTGGTGTTTGCTAGGATGAACTTCTGGCTCCTGGGGCAGAGCACTTCTCCATTTACAATGCTGAAGTGTTATGTTTTTATGGTTACACCAGGGAGTGGGGAGGCAGGAATTTTAAATCCTGCTTCAGCTCAGGTCCTGACTGAGTGATCATGGCCAAGTACTCTTTCAATAGTGCTCTAAATGGAGGCTAACAATTCTTATCTCCATTAGACAGCTATTTGTGAGACTTTATCTATAGTTACTCATGTTTTGTAAGCTAAGCACTGCAAGCACAGTAATATATACAGGTTGGAAAAGGAGTGGATGGAAAATTAAACTATATAGGAAGGAAGATCTGAATAGAAGGCAGAAGGATTTCTAACCTAAGAAGTCCACAGCCGAAACCAGATCAAGTTAAAGGCAGCTCTGATGTTGTTTTCAAAGCTCACTGGGCTGGTTCAGGAGATGTGTTCACATGGGAATCAGAACACAGCCAACATGTGCAGTTTCAAATGCTGAAAAAGTTTTTAATTTACCTTCTTTGCATGGGAACTGAAATTAATTTGTCATTTAATAGGTTAAAGTGTATTTCAATGGCATAGCTAAGCAGTCTGTGCTTTCATGTCTGAGGAGGACTAATATGGAAATGCAGTATTTCATGAAATATGATACACTTGATACACTGATCTCAAGGAAACAACTACTTTTAGTGGAATGAGATGGAGGCAGAGAGCTTAACTCTGACAATGAAATACTAGAGCAAGTCTAAATGACAAATATTACTTTATTTGTGCTTTTTCTTTAAAACAGCCTGATGTAGATTCACGCTGGCTAATGTAGAATTTGTGGCTCAGGAACTGAAGTTATGGAGACAAATATTTGAACACAAGGCAGTGCTGCAAGAAAATAGCTGGAGTATTGCTCATTCATTCAGATAGATGCATGTTAACGGGACAGTTTATCCTCTTTTGAGCTCTAAGTGCATTAACAGCACCCCAGTAAGAATCACAGCAGCACATTTAACAGATGCCTGTGGGCTGTATTAGAGTTTTATGGACAGCCTTTATTTTACAATAGGGTTCTTACTTTGTATCTTGTGATAACATTTCACTGTACATGTATACAGCCTTAGCCACTGTATTCAACCAATACCAAGATTGTCTCAATATATGAAAGAGCACCATGTATCTCATTTTTGAGTGCAGGCAGCTGGTGCCATGAAGTTACTTTTATGCCAAAGGGATAGTCACTTCGTAAGAACAAGAGAGTCACTTCTTGTGAGCAAGATAATGATCAACAGATTTTTAAATGCACATTTTCACATCCATCTTGATTTCATTTTCAGTGACGTCAAAGACACAAGTCTGTGTTTCTAGACATATGCCGTTTCTTTTTCTTTCTGACTGTGTAATGTGTAAGGTCACATGCTGGTGACCCAGAAGCACCTTATGATTTGATTTTTATTATTATTTTCAGTAAATGATTCAAATGTTCAGTTCTTGGACCAAGATGATGATGATGATCCAGACACAGAACTGTATCTCACGCAGCCCTTTGCATGTGGAACCGCATTTGCTGTCAGTGTGCTGGACTCGCTCATGAGCGCAGTAAGCAGACAAAACCTTTTTCATTCCCTTACCTCAGACTTATTGTGAGAGTATGAAGGTGTAGTCTCTATTCCACTGGTTGTCAGGAAAAGACACTTTTCTCTTAGATGTCAGGAGAATTTCAGAACCTAAACTTGGTTATTTTTTAATTGGACACAGAGACCTTAGAACAACTGAGGTATATAGGACTACCATGAGTCCACAATTTTAAAATCAAAAAGTGTCATGTCAGGCTTTAGAGTATAATATTTTCCAAAAAATGTTGTCTCTTCCTCCTGAAACCCAGACCCAAATTCAGTGTGTTAGTCCCTATTCTTACCATTTATGTCAGACAACGTCAACCATGTTATATGCTTTTAATTTCCGGTAGCCATGAGAAATGCTCTGAGTACGAGCAATGGAAGACAGCGATAGAACTTTGTGAAAGCCATTGTAGGCATCACATGAACTTTACTTGTGTGAAGAGAGGTCCTCTTTTTGACACGAGTTGTCTTGTGAATCAAAACATAAGTGCATGCCAGAAACTGCAATTGGTGGCCTTTGGTTACATCTACATTAGGGTTTTTGATTTGCAGCCATAGAACAGTTTCAAAGCAAATGCCTCAGTCATACTCCTTTTCATCCTCCCTTGCTTCATACTGGCTAAGTTTTCAGACCAGTCTTGTGCCATACTAGATGTAGCAAGAACATAGTCTTTTAAAAATCTGAGCACAGGCTCTCCATGGAATAATATTCTATAGTGCTGGGAATCATCTGCTGTAAACCTCATACAATATTAGAAATGAGCAAACAGGTTTCCTTATAGAAGCAAAGTCTGACCTTCACCTAAATTCGGAATGAAGCTTTTTGCTTTTAAGAAAAAATCATAGTGAACTTTATTACTTAATATTCATATTTCATATTTATGTATCTGTATTTCATACATCTATTCCCTGCTTATTACATACATGTTTCATCTACAAATGAATAGTGACTGTTTACAGTGATGAATTTTTCTTCTAATGCAGTCTAGGAGTTTGCAATGAACTCAGAAAATACTTTTTTTTAATGTTATTGGCCATATTTTGCATACATGACAAATTCAGAAAACCTAAGCAAGCACACTCAAACTCTGTACCTTCTCTAATTAAAATCTCTCTATATAAAATATTTGGCTTTTTCATATTATATATGGGAATAGTTTAACACGTTCCAAATTATTAAAATGAGAGTTGTTTATCTACTCACACTACTAACTAAATTAATGTCCTTGAATGAATAGTTCAGTAGGGCACTTCCAGAATCTTGGAAAAAGTAAGGTTAATTCTTCTGATTGCCACTGGCATCACCACAAAAAGAGAGGAAAATGTTGTGGACACCATTGCTTTCTTGTGCAAAGGTGTATCATGTAAATAGTAGTGAGGCAATAAGAAATATGTAGAAAATGTCTTCAGAAATATTTACTTGGAACTCATCACATGATCCTCACAATATTTTCAGGTTTTTCTTGCTTTTATTAACTTTTAGTTTTTGACACCATGCCCCTCCACATCTGCAGTTCCTTTCTTACCAGTCTTTTTTTCAAACATTTTCACATCTAAGTGGTCATATGTCAGGGACAGTGCAGCCTGAAGCCAGAGAACTAAACGTGATAACAAGAGTAGAAAATTCTAACTTAGAAAAAATACTAATCAAAAAGACAAGCCAAAGGTACAGTCAGTTAGCATTGTTCACCATTTTATCTTTTCTTTCACCACTTTGCTGATCCGTGGCAGTGTTACTTCCTCTTTCATTCCTCAAAGGCCTTGTAAAGAGTTGGAAAAGTACAATTCTTTCTGACCCTTCAGAAAGTGTAAGATGTGTGAAATGTTTCCCCTTAACTATCCCTACTCTCATGGGAATGGTGTATTCTCCTTTCACTTCTCCAAGGAAAAGAGGGTTTCTCACACAAACTAATTTACTTGCACTATATTACCTCTTTTTTTTTTTTTTTTTTTGTTTCCTAGAGTACTCTTGTTTTTAGGGACCAGCTTCTGTATATCCTACCTGATTTAGAGCCAGTATTGGCAAACCGAAGCCCAAATCCTAACTAAATCGTGAGATTTGCGGTCAGGCTTTCATTCTACTAATTGTGCAGGAATTCTGCAAAAAGGAAATAATTCACACTATGCTGGCCTGTGCCAGCTCACTTGGGGACAAGGATATAGTTCATTATTTGATCCACTTAGTGATTCATGGTTTTTTATAGCTTAATTTTCATAGAAAATTCCAACTTATGATCTCTGTTGATATTACTGGAATGCAAATTCCTTACACAGTCTACCATACAAATATACAATGTGTGAACAGTGTGCCATTAAAAATGAATCCCTTCTTACAGTGGTGTAGTTTTATAATAAAACGTCTGTAAGAAAGATTAGCAAGTAGAATGATACCCACACACACACTATTCTTTCTGACTTGCAGGTAATTGGAAACATACGTATAGATCATAGAATCGTAGAATAGTTGGGGTTGGAAAGGACCTTAAGATCATCTAGTTCCAACCCCC